TCAGGGGCTTTGCTTTCCGCCTATGAATCATGTAGCTGTTTTGATTTTCCCACACGCCCACTGCCATGTTTACGGGAAACCTTTAGTTGGATCGTCTCTACTTTTCGAATCACTCGTAGTGTGCCACTTGATAGATGCCTTGGCTGTTGTTTGAAGCATAGAGTGAAGTTTTCTGAAGCTTAGTGACTGAATCGTTCAACGGACAAATTAAAGTAACTTTGCAGATCAATCATTAAACTTTGCCAGCTGAGACAGTGGATTTCCTTATCAGCATAAAAAATCCATAGCTGCTCGTGCGATTAACACTTCGATGGTAACGGATCTATTTACTTGTTATCAGTAGGCAAATCCTGATACAAAACGTACACAAAATGTGCACAAAAATAAAATATATAGCGTCGAGCTAGGAATCATCAAAAATGCATAAAACTGTCCAGAGGCAGATGTTCAGCCATGAGAAACTCGATTTTACCATGCAAAATATCAACAATTTAAAATTCTATTGATCTCCAAAATTAGATCAGGAAATTGACTAATCAGTTATCATTTACAGTCAATTTACTTTAGAAGGAACTGTACACTGAGCATCCGTGATTCAGTGGATAATGAGGGAACAATCAACACACAAGACAGATTTGCAGAATTGTTCTTGAACAAAGTCCGTATCGAACTGAAAAGGAATTAGCTATCATATTTCCTTTAAGGAATAACATCATCATCAGCCTTTCTTAATGCACTGCTGAGTGAAGCACTCCCCAAGATTTTGCCAAAGGCTTGATCTTCCCGCGATTCCCATCCACCTTGATCCAATGAACTTCATCAGCTCATCCTGTCATCGGTTTGTGGGTCGTCCCACAAGGCTTTTGCTCTCTCTTTGAAACCAGTCATATATGTCGGTTGTCCTCCGGTGGTTGTTCTTCTTCGGCATGTCCTGCCCATTGTCATTTAAAATTGCAAACACAAACATGTCTGCACACTGTTGTAGCAAACGATTATACTTCGGATGACAGACAGCATGTTACATTATTTCTTGATACTTACCCTGGCCTTGTGAGGTACTCTTCAGGTAGCCGACATTCATTTCAGCTTATTTTCATCAGTATAGTGTCGTTTTGGTCTACCCAATAATCTCATGCAACATCCGTTGCAGCGTTAGTTATCTTTCCTTCCCAACGACATGCTAAAGGTATCGTCTACGTTCTTGTACGCCACTGGGAAGTGGACGCGAAGTGCAAAGTTATGTTAGAGCTCATACTTTTCGATTTTGAAATCGGAAATTCATTACAATCGTCTGTAGCACTATCTTCAAAATGCAGCGAAGCGACACCCACAGTAGGAAAGAGCAAATGCTGTTCACGGCAGGAGGGAGGACAACTAGATGCGAAAGTGCATAGTTTGTGTGATTGATTCGACGTGGGGCGTTTCGGAGCCTGTCCATAGTCGTTTTCAATGTGCAGTCCTCTGGTGCGAGTCTGAACATATACCATTGGACTGCGGCCATTTAGATCAACTGTAAAATCCAACCCACCACGTTACATAACCATGACAAGCTCTCCGTGAGCACAATATGGAACTTCTGTCCAACTAATCAGGTTATATACTGTATAAAAAGCTTTCCTATATAAATAAGTTATTTTATATATCAGCTTGTTGTTCTTCCACAAAAATTCGACTCTAAACTAAATTATGTTAATAAATTTAAACTTGTTAAATAATCTGGCAACGCAGTTATCCGTCGCAACTGAACTTTGGAAAGAAACAATAAACAAAAGTGTTATGGCACGTCGTAACGAGTCGTTGCTCAGTTATTACGTGGGATCATGACATGAAACAGAAATATTGGAAATTCATAAATTTGACAATGAATTCGTATTGTGCTCTCAGTGAGTTTCCCATTGATATGCAACATGACAATATAAGTCGCAACAGCCATCAAGCTAAGCATAACGAAATTGCATAACTCAAAATTAATAAACTCGCTTAATCCCACCATCAACAAAACCGTAGTTCACTAATTTGAATGATGCTTAGTTTTGAACTTACTGAGAGATATTCTTTAATATCTGAATAATAAAGTTCACGTTGTGCTCACGGAAACCCTCTCACGGATTTGTAATACGGTGCGATGCGTAAGTTGTAATTATATAAATTTAAACTCGCGCCACAGTTTTGCACATTAACAAGGACTACCTCTTAGCGCCAAAACGGCCTGCCACGAATCGTCCCCTTCCATAGTTTCTGGACGCAACCGTAACTGCGCAGAATGTTGTGCATGCATTATTCCTCTCACACATCAGCTCATCGGTGCAGAATTCGAATTTTGGTCGAATTCTTTTACTTGCTAGAATCGACGTTATCAAGCTGTCAATTCCAAGTTCTTCATATTTCTTAAGGCATCATTTTGCGTACAAATTTTATTTGGCATACTGTCGACGTTTAGAGTTGTACTTGGCTCGTTACTCGATAAGTCAAGACCTCGTAGCTAGCTGTTTCCACAAAAAGCTTACTCTGAATGGAAACGTCATGTGCTTCGAGGCAGGAAGGAGTAAAACATTTGTAAGGATACTATGGAATGATATGAAGTAAAACTTGAGGTACAAATAGCGACTCACGCGTCACGTCACGTTCTGCAACCCATTCAATCTACATCGCGTCGGGTCATGTCATGTTCCTCATTCCGATATCAGTACTGTGTCTTAAAAATGCTACTTCGTTTGATTCTAGGCGCTTCTGTGATAAACTGTTAAGTTTACTTTTTGGTGCCTTCTACCATGAATCGACGAACAATCTACGACTTTAACCAAGTACAGTGGTACCTCAAGTCACGGACTTAATTCGTTCTTTGACTCCGTTCGCC